TTTCAGGCTTATCTGTAGTTGCTGCTTGGCTTGCACTTGGCAGAAGAAAAATAAATATAAGCTATTCTTATTACGCTGACTTGAATACCAAGTATGTTTTCATTCCATCTAGCTAATATGAGTAGATAAACTGGTGGCCTATTTCCTCTTTCTCTTTCAAATTAAAGGAGAGTGATAAGCTGAGACCTCGTGGTGATAAGCTGAGACCTCACAGAGAGGAAGCTGTGGTGCCTCTGGAGGGTACATCTGTATAGCCAGCTCTAAAGCAGAGGCAATAATCTTGCTCTGAAAGGGATGTGAATTGACAGATGTGGATTTTATTTCCACTTTATTGGACTTGTGCGGTTTTGGAAGAAATGAAAACTGGGTATTTAGTGAAACATGTCTATATCCAGTGAAGGGGCTTCACCTCAGACCGTGTGCAAATGGGTAGATTGCACAATGCACTCATGCTCATCCTCTTGCTGGGACAGTTTTGCCTTTCCCCAAATGCAAAGAATGACACGGGAAGGGACAAAGAAAACCAACCCTTCCCTGCCCTTCTGCCAGAGCAGAGCCAGATTGATGCAATACAGACACATGCTTGCAGAGATCTCTGAAACCCTTGTAAAGAAATGGGTTCGTAGCTCGCAGTCAAGGTGATGTGGAGGTAGACCTTGCTTTGTTAGCTCCAAGGAAGGAACTGCACCCAATGATATGAACGTGGCATTTTCAGAGTAACACAAATGCCCAGGGTTTGGAAAACAGCCACATTGGTCCGCACGCAGCATGACAGCATACACAGGGCTCATCTTGGAATGCGTTAAGATAAATAAAAGAAAAAGAATCAGCACAAAGCAGAGAGTTTTATAAACTGAAAGCAGGGCAAAAGTGTTGTTTCTGTTGTTTAGTTCTGCATTGAACAATGGCCCTTTACTGTGCTGTGCGAAAACAGACTACTGGAGAGAAAATGAGATAGATAATTTAGATAAAGCATTGCTTTTTGCTGATGTTAGTTTACAGCAGACCTCACTCATTTCAGGAGCCCTTTCTTATTTGTAAATCCATCTGTAAGTCTCACAAAGTTCCCAGCGATGGCTTGAGGCATTAAGACATCTTTGCAAATCTGGTCTCTGGTCTCAAAAAATGTTGGTGGAAAAGTGTGGCATTGAAGGAAAAGGGAGAGAAAAAAAAATTGCAGGAGAAAAGTCCCCCTCATCACATGGAGGAGTAGGTAGGTGAAGTGAAACTCCGACTAAAATTTTAATTGCTGATATATAGTGGAGGCAATGGAGCTACAATGCTCTGCCCCATTAAGACTCCAAGCCCTAACTCTGAGGTGATCTGATTCACTGGAGGGGGAGAAATGTAATGTGCCGTGCTGCTTGCAACAAACAGCACTCCATTTCAGAGCAGTACATATAGCAGAGCTGTTCCAAGCTGCTCCAAGCAGATAAAATTTAAATCCTGCTTGTTGGTTTTACGTTGGTGACTGATGATTGAATGGAGGTGCAGAGCAGAAGTGACTTTAGTTAGGTAATCTCATTGCGCAAATGAACTTTGGACTGTGTTTTCTGGCAAATTTAGGCTGAGAATAAATTATTCTCATTTGAAAAATTGCAGGCCCTGTTGGAGCTGCGTTTTGCATCCCATATAAATGCAAAAATACACGCGGAGTTAACCCATTGGTACCTAGGTGCCCCTGAAGTGTGCAGCCCCGTAGTTGCTCAGTCACCCAGACGTGGATGATGTGCGCTGTTCCTCATGGATGTACCCCATCCTGCAGCCATTCACTTGCTGGGCACCTCCATGTGGGTGCAAGTCATGAAAGCAACGTCCTTTAAAAATGGAGCAAAATTTTTGTGTGTCTTGGCATCATATTTTCTCATTACAATCATTTTCTTCTCTCCTTCAGGGCCATTGGACACTGAAACATTTCTGTTTACCTGGATGAAGCTGATCTTCATCCCCGTTGCTCCACATGAGGAGATAATTAGGCCTCCTGTAGCAGCTTTGTGACTTCCTAGAATGCACTGTGCCCTATAGACCTGCTCATTCTCTCAGTACTGAAGCAAGATGAGTCCTGAGGATTTACATTAGCGTCTTGACAATTGAGTTGAGCATTATCTGGATGTAAATGCATTCATCCATAACAGAGGAAAATCTCAAATCCCAGCATCAAAGAATACTTCACTTTTTAATGCTACAAAGTCATGTTCCTTCCAGCAAATCAACTGCTTAGTGGTTCACTGCAAATGAAAGATGTTGCTTGATTCCTGGTTTAGATACTTGTATTGGAAACTTCCTTAATACTTATTAGAACCTGCTGAATCTTAAAACACTTTAGGCAGAGAAGGGACTTAAGTACGTCATCGGGAAAACATCCCAGCTGCTTACCACATGAGAGGATTAAAGATGACAATCCATCAGGGGTGTGATGACTGTGTTTTTTAGAGCACATTACTCTCTTGCATCTATTACATGGATTTCTGGGTTTTGTATTCACGATGCAACAGTCTGTTACGCAACAAATGTCCACACGTACATGGCCATATGAAGACTTGCACCCAGTAGCAAGGCAAGAAGATAAGTCCATTTTCTTTCCCTTTGAAATTTCTCGGAGATGAACCGCTCCATGTTTCCTAAGCCCTTTGAGCTGGTGTGCTGTACCTGTGTGGACGTGAATGCCAAATACCTGTCACCGTTCCAGCTCCTGTGGCTAGCAGCTTGATCCTCCCACAGCTGTGCCCGTACAAAGCCAAAAGCAAGAAAATCAGCCTGCTGCTGAAATGCCAAAATGTGGAACAGTTGCCTAGAACTGTAACTTGAGAGAGATTAGAAATAAGCCTATCACAGGCACCAGTGAGCAACCCTATGAAAATATCACTTTCCAAAAAAAAATGAACCATTATTTTCTGCTGAACACTTAAAGCTTCAAGGCTTGCAGAACCTTGTGCAGTTTCTCCTCCCCTTTTGCCTCTCACCTCCAACCTGTAAAGCCTAGCAGGTGAAAGAACTGAGTTCATCTCCTTATTTTTAAGTCTTGCTCTGTTGATTCTCACTTCCTTTCTCTCCGACAAAGCTTTAACTGCATCTTCCTCCTCCAGCCACCTTCTCAATAACAATAGAGCCAAACTGCTGGCTGATGCTTTAACTTCGTGTTGTGGACCACAGAAAACTATCCAGGTAGTCTCAGACAGCATAATGGTTTAACAGATCAGAAGAAATGCTTGCTTTGTATTACTGATGTTACAAAATTACAAAATACAAAATAGCTAGTTAGTCCTTAATCGCATTGCTGTGAGGGAAGTAGGTGAATGGAAGTAAGAAAGATGCTTTATAAAACCAGTCCAGAGCAAGGCAGAAATCAGTGGCAGAGCCCAGGTTTGTAATTCCTGACAGTATTCTCCACAGATCATTAGAAAACATTGGTTGTTTTGTTGGTTTGTTTGGTTTGGTTTGTTCGTTTTGTGACAGCATCCTCTGTTTCCCTGACAAAGGAATAGAAATAGGATGCAGCAGCTCACATTTTCCTAAACAGAAGCAGAAAGAGGCAGACTGAGAGAATGGATGATCTTTAAAAATTCAAGGTAACATAAACACACAAATACAAGTTTCCAGTGTTCCCTGTACTTTAAAGGATATGCCTAATGCCTGCTCGCAAAGTGAAAATTAAGATACAGACATCATTGAGTTTCTACAGTACATTAAAGTGACATGATAGGATGGTATTTGTGCTTTCAATATACTTTCATCTGCAACCAAGTCCACCAGCAGATCATTTAGTACTGAAATGAAACTCCATTGAAAAAAAATATTGACTTTCTCTCATCATTGGCAGTAGTTTTTTATCTGCATTGATTGAATGCACAGGATCCCGGTTTTTAATTCTCAATTAAAAATATGAAATACTTAATATTTCAATGTCATGTAATGTCATTAGAACATTCAAACGAACAAGATGTTCTATAATAACCACTTAACAGGGGGCATTTTGACTTTGGCTGGTTTTGTCATAGACAATTGATCTCCTCTTTCAGGTGCATCAAACACTTTTGAAAATTTCGGTATAATTTTGTCTAATGATTCCATCTTAGCTTATGTTAATTTTGTGAGAAAATATGACTGACAAAGCTAAAGTCACCTAAAAGCAGCAAGAATAAATTGTCTGCCATGTTAGCATCAGCTGGCCTATTGGCTGCATTTCCAAAAGTGCTCAGTGATGTGGGGCACAGTCTGAGATGGGCTTTTCCAGATCCTCTTTTCCAGATGGTACTCATCATATGCATCCATGGAAGTTTGTTCTGGTACTAAAAAAGTGGAAGTTGGGTGCTCAGAGACTAAAATTTCAAAAATCACAATGTTTTATAATTTAGACCTAAGCATCAAAGCCTTTTTGTTTGTTTGCTTTTAGCTATTCTGCAGAGAGAACTCGTATTTGCGAAATGGGAACTTTCTCAAATCATTAACTCACACCATGTGGGTTGGCCATGGCTGGTTGAAATACATTCCTCACAAGGAGGAGGAATAATGCTCCTTCCACAGGAACACCTGTAGCTCTCCTGCAGGAACAGCATTTCGTGTACTCTGCTATCTTAAATTGAGCAAACCAGGACACAGCCATCCACAGCAAGTAGATGTCTTTGCAGATCATGCCCATGTTACTTAAAACTTGGCAGTGTCTCAGAGGACAGGATCCCTGTCATGAATCTCTTTTGAAACTCTCCAAAATCCCATGAAGGACAAGTCTGTGAATGTTCTTAGCCACAAACCTCAGCTTGGGTCTCCCACCCCACTGTGAGAGGAGAACCCTGCAGTGGAGGAAGCCCAGGAGAAAGCCCCTGGACCTGTCCCCGAAGCCTCAGACTGAGGAGTAGCACCTCTAAAAATACAGGGAATCCTCTGGCCGATTTGGGGAGCAGGCTCCTTTGGCAGCTCCCAGCACTCTGTGCCTTTGAGGCTGTTGCCTCTTCCCTCACTTCGAGGCAGATGCTGCTCCTCCCAAATCCCACGCCGAGGGGACGGCATGCCAGAAAGAGCATGATTTTTTCCTCGTCTCTGTGTCTATACCGAGCAGGAGACAACTTAGCCGATGATGCTTTCCAGAGATGATATAACGTTACCTCGGGGAGGCTATGCCCCGCGTCCCGTTAGGACGCTGTCATACTGCTTCAGTCCGGAGTACGCGCTTGCTCGTTGCTCCATGGTATACATTGAGCTCCTTCCAGCAGGAGTTTTATAGCACGCTGACAGTTGCTTTAAATTAGAAAAGCTGGCAACTGTCCGAGGAAAGGAGTGGGAGCTTATTTAGCTGAGACAGACAGTTACAAAACTCAATGCACGAGCATCAAGCTTCAAACAAGTTTTCGTGAAGTTTATTTGTCATCGAGGCACTCGAAGTGGGTTTAACAGATCTTGGATCACCAACAATTACCTGGTGGCTTGAATTTACAGCTCCTACAGCACGACCCAAAAGAAACGTGTTGCTTTTCCCGAAAAAAAATTGGTGTTATCTACTCAAACGTTAAGGTAAGTTGTAAGTGATTCTACTTTCCTATTCTGGCTTCACTGAAATGCTTTTAAAGAAGGGAACACAATACAGAGACTTTTCAGAAAAAAATAATTATAATTATAATTTAAAAAAATCAGATTTTTGCTGGGATACACATGATTCCATTAGAAATCCGCTGTAGTAGGACTTCTGTGAAATCTGTTTATGTATCTTGTAAGAAAGAGTAATAAATTTTGACATGTATGCATATAACTTTCCTATCAGAAAGTTACCAGATATTTTTTTTAAATCAAAGACACAATTTGATGGTTAAAAAAAAATAATAATAATTTTAAATGTCTACCTTTCACGAGGTTTAGGGTGATTTAATTGCTTACAATCTTTAGAAATATTTCTTTTATTTAGCTGTAATCTTACATTCCATCAACCCAAAATAGATTATAGGTTTTTTTCCCTTGTGCACGATTCCAAAATCATTCCAAGTATTCACTTTAACCTTTGTTGCTATGGTTTCATAGAAACTTGTTTTGCAAAAAAAAATAAAATAAAATCTGTAAATACCGAATAAATCATTTTGCTTCAGGGTTGTGCTCTCGCAAAATTAATCTCCTGAATTTTACGTATTAAACTCTCACCAAACAAAAAATACCCATTTGTTATTTTGTTGGGGCATTTATTCTGCGGGGGTTTTCTTTCCCAAGGTCATTTAGCTTTCCGTGCTTCCACTGCTACTGGCAGTATGCTTTGTGGCTGTGTGCTGCAGACACACGGGAGGGAGTGGGTGTTGTTGAATAGAGTGCAAGTGATTGAACGCAGCCATGGTGTAGGTAGGTGAGGGTGTAAGTGGATAAGCACTTTCTTGCTCTCTTGTTTCCCCTGGGTCTCCGGGTTGTACAGATGGGGCGGAGGCAGCACTGGCTTGCATGCCAGCTGCCCAAAACATGATACTCACAGCGGTGCCTAATTCCTCTAACCCACTCACTTTCAAGGAAATGATGAAGGTTTTCAGCTGAAGCTTTAGGAAAATATGGGTGTGAGCACAGCATTACCCACAGCCCTTGGAGCTGTGCAAGCTGCGGAAATTTGCTATTACCAGCTCTACTCGTTGCTGGAGAAACAGCAACGGGCTTCAGAAATCCCATGACCCATGGTGAAACTCCTTTCTTCCTGAAGTCCCTTGCTCCTTGTTTTCCCAGCCTTGGGACAGCTTCAGCTGTGCTGCTGGAGTGGATTTTCCCTTTCAGAGCAGGTGGAAATGCAGGGCTGTCCTGCTGAACTCCCGTACAGCCCAGCCCAGGTAACAGTTGCAAGGCAAGAAGGTGGATGGAAATCCCAAGGGCTGGACTGAATCCCTGCAGGGCAGGATCCTCTGTCCCATTCACTGTGCTGAAGCTTACTTGTATCTTTAATTCTCTGTGAGGTGTCTGCTCGTGGGCCTGCCCCTTATGCTGCAAAGCCTAATGGTCAGGGTCCTTAAACCAATGCTGCAGCAACATTACGCTTGCTGTCATTGTACGGGCAAGTAACATCCACTTTCCTGAAGACACACATTGCAGGTGATAAAATGTGGATTAAGGAGGCCAGAAAAACTTGACCTCTGAGAGGAGTGAGAATCTGAAGGCTGCAACCTTTTATACAATTAAGAGGCATTTTAAAAAAAGAGAAAAAAAAAATGTTTCTGATTCCTAGAGGTTGCTTGTCACAGATACAAGACAGGTCAAACTCCATTTTATCTGCTGGTGTGGATTTTTTGTAAGTCGAAAGGACAGCAAAGCAGTTATGTGATTGACTTGGCAGAAAACTCTAGAGGCTTGGCAGGTTCATCTTGGTGATCAAACAGGGAAAATAAAGGCTGCAAGTGAGATAATTACTGGGCAGCTTTACATTTTAGTGGTATGCATTGGGCTGCAACTGTCAGCAAAAGGTTTTCATTTCTGCTCACATTCTCTCTAAATTAAGAGGTGCAGCTCAGTAGTGTAGTTTCTGTTGGGCGGAAGAAAAAATCCAAATTAGTCCAAGTTCACAGCACTGAAGTAACTTGTTCAGGTTCTCCATATATTAGGCTTTAGTTTTTATTTTGGACGAGCAGTGTGGATCTGCTTTAGGATGTCCAGCCCCAAGCCTCACCTGATCCTAGACTGGAAATCTCGAAGTGATGAAGGCAGCACTGCAAAGGACCTGACTCAAGCCTTCAGACATGTTTTACAGTTTCACTAAATGTTGAGCAAGAGGGGATAGGATCATATGAGAAAACAGTCTACACATGTCTGTCAGGTGTAAGCACTGGGAAGGGCAGAATTGTTTCATATGAAAGCAGATTTTATCACAAGTAATAATGGGGTCAGTTTTAAGGGGAAAGACTAGGCTGTGCACAATGGGAAAATAATCCTGGCAGGGAGAGAGATGTGGTTATAAAACAATCTGAGGGAAAGGGGGGAAAAGTCTCACTGGCTGGGATGCTGCACTTCGTCTGGGCAAACCTCGAAGAAATCTGTGGGGAGCAATCTTTCCTAGGCTGAGAGATGTGAGAGTCCATATGTTGTTCTGGCTTAAATTTATTGGCTTGCGTTCAGTCTATCTACTGGATTTGTCTTCCTCATCTGTATTGTGTCTCTGAGCCCCGAGCGTGTTGCAGCCTACAGAAGTGGAGGCCAAATCTCGAACAAGATTTAATTGAGATAGTTGGCTGTGCTTGGACACCAGCAGGCCACCCATCCTATTTTCAGCTTACACTCTCCCCTCCTCCTTTGGAGAGACCCCAAACCCAAAATCAGACACCCTGCTATAAACAGGAACATCTGGAAAAAGCCAGAGGTTAAAGCAAGGGGAAGGAAGAAAACTGTTCCGTTATAGGATGCTTTTTAGGATGTAATGTAATTCATGCACTCTGCTTTATTTCTCTCAGTGTTTGCTACATTCTTTTAATAAATACATTTTTCTTTTGGGGAAAAAAATAAAAATAAAAAGAGAGAGAGAGAGAGAGAATGGAGAGGATATTAATAAGGAAACAGGACCTGAAATGTAGTTTAAAAAATGTGCAGCAAAACAGGGAGTGACACTGCAATGAAAACAAGAAGGGCTCAAAGGGCAGGGCTAAAGAGGTGTGTGTCCAGCCTGCTCTCCCCACATCTTTCCTTTTGTCCAGTGGGCCTCATCACTGGCTCCAGGCCAGCATGGGGGACCTGGTCTGGGAGCTGCTGGGAGACGGACCTCCCATTTCCTTACCCTTCAGGAAAAAAAAAAAAAAAGAGAGAGAGAGAGAAAGAAAGAGGGAAAAGTCTTCACTTTTTCTGTATTGGTCCAGGAAAACTCTCCCTTTTCTTGGAGGGAGAAGCTCCCTCCTGCTGGAACACGTGTCTTCTGTTCTTGCTAGCTGTTAGGACTGAAGACCAAAAGTCTTTTCCCTTTTCAGCAGTCCATAAAAACTTGATGTTACGCCAGTCTTGCTAGCCCTGCACTGATGTTCCTGCACAGCTCTGGTCTGCTGTGCCTTAAAGCACCTGGGGACTGATCCCACCCCCCTGACACATCCCAGGCTATGTTTCATGTCCTTTCTCTCGTAGAATTTCTTTTCACTGTCACTAGCAGCAGAAATGGCTCCTTGGCGATGTATCAGAGAAACACCTAGGTTACTTTTTGCATCCATTGCTCACTGCAGACACCATGTCAGTGTTTTGTTACAGAGCAGTTGGCTCCTTTGAGACATTATGAGGTCCAGCTCTGCACAGATATGCTCTGCAGGTTATCTGCCAGAGCCTGGCCTTTTTTGGCCCTAAACCCTGACAACAGCCTTTGATCACAGCTCAGCTTTAGAAATTCTCCCTGTCCCAAATGTTTTCATTTGTTTTCAATGTCTCTTCAGTTCCTCTACCCCTTTCCTCCTGTAAATTACCTATCTGGTATTCTCCTTTCTGTAGTCCTCCCATTTTCCTGGTGCATCTGCATGCTTACCCAGGGGATCCCCCTTTACCACTACCTCAAGGAGGCTTTGGGGGGACCCTACTAACATCCACTCCTTCCTGAAGCCATGGTTGTCACTGGGCCATCCTGTAACCCCTGCTTAAATAATGTGGGGCTGCAGTGTTGCTCTAAATCTTCCAGACGGCTGACTTCACGATGACTGGGAGAAAGACCCAAACTACTACGGCCTCTCTGAGTTACAGTTCCTATTATTCAGTGCAGGCATTCCTGCTAGAAAGTGGTCACACATGTCAGCAGATGACCTCTTGAGCACCAGCTTTGAGGTGGGGCAGGGAGATGTCATTCCAGAGAGAGGTGGTGATTTTTGAGTGGGAACAGGATGGTTTTCACTCAGGCAAAGCAATTCCCTTAAAGGCATAAAGTACAGGTTGTAGCTCCCACTCCTCTCCTGGAGGAAGGAAATGTTCACTTCTGTCCCCAGCATGGGTAAAAGGAAAAGAAAACAAATACATGTAAAAATAGTACCCAAGTCAACTCCATTTCACTATTCTTTGAATATATATCTGAATGGCCCTAATAAGAATGCAAAGATCATGTTCCCCTGAGCATATTACAGCATTTAAAAGAGCAGCATCAGAGGTCAGATAGAGGAAAACAGCTTAGGCAGAACAATCAGGGCTGATGGTTCTGGCTAGCTTTGAAACAGGCCATCATACCTGCCTTTGCCCTCTGTCCCTCCTGCATCCCCAGGTCCCCAGGTCCCCTCGTGGGGCTCGGGTGGGTAAGCAATGCCTTCAGCACTGTGAGAGGGCACTGCACCAGCAGAGAGGTTTGGTTTCTCTGGAAGAGGGTGTATCAGCTGCATTTCACCATATTTTAAGCTGTAGAGCTGGGTTGTACTGCTTTACATCACAGTGGGAGTTTGGAGGCTGCATTTTTGGAGGAAAAGGACTACAAGTGGCCTTCAGTAGTCCAAGGAGAATGGAGAGTTTCCTGTGCAGGACTGAATAGGACAGCTCCCTCCATGCAGCTCAGCCATGGCTTTGTAGCCTTCTTAAGGCAGAACTGCGATTGAAAGTTTCAGTGCCTGGCATTTCTCAGGCAGAAATATATTTACATTGCATCACACCACAGTGATGCCTCCCACGCCTCCAGGAATTGTCCAGATCATCATACCCCTACTGTACAGCCAACACGCAGTGACTCTGCTGGGTGTTTCCTGCACTGATAGAGAAATTATCTTGCTCTGAAAGAGATAATGGATTATTTGAAAACCCTGGATAAATGCACATAATCCTCAAACTTATCTGGAGAAGATACCCTCTTTTTCTGCCTGGCTATCTTGTGAGCAGAAGTTACCCGTCAGAAACCTGGCATCTCATTTTCTCCCTTTCTACAGGCATGTTCTGTCCTCACAGCCTGAGGCTGCAGTCTGAGAGTTTTGATTGTCAAAAACTGGAACAAAAACCCAGCCAGTGTGTGCAAAAAGTCTGGTTCTGCAGTCCTAGTTAACCTCTGCGGTGAGACTCAGGCCTCTTCGAAGGGGTCCCATACAGGGATGCAAGGATCAGGTTCATCATGGGTGCAGCTCCACGGACACCCAGGTTATATTTTTTGGGTTGCTACATCTGGCAGGATTGGCCTTCCTTCACACCAAGGAAGGTCATTTTTGTACCTCCCTCATGAGGTGAACGTCCATGCAGATGCTTTCATGTGGTGCACCTCCTGACCATTTTCAACCTGTCTCGCTGATCAAGAAGTTGTATCACTTCTCCAGAGATACAGACAGGTCATAAAAATTTCAGTCCCCTAAACAAGCACCCTTTCCTTCATCAGAAGAGATGGTGGGCCTGTGCTCTGCGTGCACTCGCTGCCATCATGGCTCATGCTTGTACAACCTCTGTGGTTCTTCTGGAACACGGTCTGGATTCCTTGCGATTAGGACTAGATGATCCCATAGCAGAAACAGCTTCACTCGCGCGGAAGAGCTGCCAAGATACCCTTAAAAGGCAGGATCTGCCTAGCTCACGCTGCTGGAAGCCTTCACCGCTGCTCCAGCCCGCCTCAGAAACCAGCCTGGCCCAGCCCTGCAGCAGCCATGGCCCTCCTCTGCCCCACACAGCAGGGAGAGGACAGATCCTTTAGGTCCTCATGATCAGAAATCAGCAGCACCATGCCCAAGCCCTGGCACCAAATTCCTTCCAGCATCCCAGCAGCTCGCCGGGCAAGTTTGCTGCATGTGCCTCCTTCCCAGTGTGTCAGCGGAAGCAGATGTTTCTAATTTATCACTAAAAACAAACAACTTAATCCCAAAAATATGCGGCAGCAGGGGGACTGGAGGGAGCCTTCCACTTAAAGCTGATTTATAAATTGGATAATTAGGGTTAATTTGGCCATGAATGAAGTGAATGTGTGTCTGATATCGTTACCGGTGCTTCCTCCTTGTAATTTTTGCAAGTCGTTGGAATTGCTAAATGTCTGAGGTTTTTTAAACCTGAGGTAATGAAATGCTTTCCTGTTATGCTGGCCAAAAGTGGCTGGCATTGCTTCCTTTAATCAGCAACTCTAATATTTATCTATTTAGGCCTTCGGAGCTTTATTTGTGTATAACAGACACTGCAGCCCTCTGTCGCGTGAGTGCTAAAGACAGGCCCCACTGCAGCTCCAGCACGCACCCTTCCTGCTCCTGAAGGTGTTATTTCATCTCCAGTGTCTGAGAGGTGAGCACGGTGCCCAGGTGAGACCCATAAATGTATTGGTATTGCCTGTAAAAAGCATGGCTCACAGGTCAAGGAGGTGATTCTCTGCTTTGCTCTGCCCTCATGAGACCCCACCTGGAGCACTGCATTCAGCTCTGGGGCCCACAGCACAAGAAGGACATGGACCTGTTGGAGTAGGTACTGAGGAAAGCCCTGAAGATGATCAGAGGGCTGGAGCATCTCTCCTGTGAAGAAAGGCTGAGAGAGTTGGGGTTGTTCAGCCAGGAGAGGAGAAGGTTCCAGGGAGACCTTACATCAGTCTTCAATACTTAAAGGAGGCTCATAATAAAGATGGAGAGAGACATTTTCATAGGGCCTGTAGTGATAGGACAAGGGGTAGTGGTTTTAAACTAAAAGAGGGTAGGTTTAGATTAGATATTAGGAAGGAATTCTTTACTTGGAGGGTGGTGAGACACTGGAACAGGTTGCCCACAGAAACTGTGGATGCCCCATCCCTGGAAGTGTGCAAGGCCAGGCTGGACAGGGCTTTGCACAGCCTGATCTAACAGAAAGTGTCCCTGCCCATGGCAAGGGGTTTGGTCTAGGTGATCTCTAAGGGCTGTTTCCAACCCAAACCATTCTATGATTCTATAATACTGTATTGGTGTTGGAGGCCGCGGCTAACCTCAGAGTGCCTGAGCATGTGCAGTTATACTGAACAAACTATATATTTACCTGACACCTACTTCACACCATCAGTTCCTAATGCTTAGAGGTTGTGTTATTATTCATTTTAAAGGGCTCTTTTTCAAGCAGCTTGGCACCTAGCCATAGCATGTCTATCATTCACAGGCAGCACTGAAGTAGCAGCAATGCAGTAGCCTTAAAAAGACCTTAAAAGTTCCTGGAGACTCGACAGCAGCACCAGCCCAATTTTGCAGAAATTCTTTATTAGGGGGTTGCTACCAGAAGCCTCTGTGCCTTAGGTCTGCAAAAATTGCTGTGTTCATTGAAACTCATTTATGTTAGAAATGGATGACTGTACTGATTTCTTCAACCTCAAACACCTCTAAAAACATAGGAACACTGTTCAATTAAGTGCCTTTTCCCAGTAGATGCTGCAGTGATCCCCATTCCTGTTATGCCAGTGCCTGTGCTGCAGCAAAGGACGCAATGTCACACGGGCTGTCCCTTCTGGCACTCTTGCATATCAGAGTAAGCCCCTATAGTCCCATGCATGGGGGTGCATTTTCTGCAGTCAGGGCACAGCACTCTGTTTTTAGATGTTTTGTTTTGCAGGTTTAATAATCAGTAGGAGAGTGAGTTGAAAGCAAATGCTATTTAGCTTTTCCTGGGAGCATGGGGAATTAAACCTTACACTGGAATGGTGGTAAAGCTGTGAGATGATGTTGCAATGATCAGTGCTCTTCTCAACAATTTCTTCTGCTGTGAGTCGCATCTCCCACGGCTGGAACAGTTGGGAAACCCTTCTCCTCCATTAATTCTATTAAATGGTAGAATTAGACAATGTGCCAAAATTGCAAAGTACTTCTCATCAAGCCTGAATTTCAGTTGGGTTAAACAGAAGAGTGAAGGAGACTAAAAAAATAACAGAAGGAAAATGGAGTCAACCGTGGAGCTAAGAATAGGAATCAGATCCCTTAGCACTCTGCTCCAGCTACTACACTCCCTTCCCTCCCATAGACAATATCCATAAAGTGATCTGGGAAAACAGTGGGTTTGAGAGGATTACTGAAGACAATTGTAGCAACATTGAGCTTGCACGGAGCTGAAGCAATTCTATTTTTGGACTAAACAAGTAAAAAAAAAAAAAAAAACTCAATCCAGACAAGTCTGTGCTGCTCAAGCAGTTTAAAGTTACATTAATGAGAGCTCCAGCACCAGATTATTCTGAAAAGCTGCAATCTGCTTTTCAGTTTTGCAGCATTTTCCCAAATGGAGAAGCCATATGTCATTACATTAGTTTGTACTAGCAATGTAGTCCTTTATTTCTTGCAAACTGGGCTGCATGTCAAATGCTGCTATACACTCTAAGTGTCTTCTTCCCTACATAGCTAAAGAGGTGCATTTATTCATGCTGTACTTATGAGGGGATGGCCAGGGATACCTTTGTGTAAGAATGTCTCATGCTTATAGAAAGGAGACTGGTTTCAGCTCATAGCAATTAAGGAACATTTCTCTTAGATGTGTCTAACCATTTGGTCTAAAATAGCTTCTGATGAAGTAGCAGTATTTAAAATGAATTTTGCTTTTGGGTGAAGATACACCACAATGAAAGAGTGAGACTCTCTTTGCCTTCAAGCATCCACAGTCTTCATCCATGTTTTCAGACCTCTAAAAGGCAAGGCAATTTATTGCAGAATCCTTTCAGACCACCGGATGGAAGATCACACAGTTCCTGACATGCAAGTTCAGGGCATTTGTACATGCTCGAGATTTGCTTCTGATAGGTTTTAATGGCATATGTTGTTCATGTTCCGAGACTATATACTCAGCAAAGCATCCAAAAACAAATGTTCAGCCCCCACGGGGTCTGGTAAAAGCCCTGAGGATGAGCTTTGTTGTGGCAATAAAGCCATGGTAGCTGTCACGTTCTGAGTCTTCCTTGTGTGGCACCGACATGACCAGGAAGGGACTATATATATGCTTCTACATATTTTTGAGCCAGAACTTCAGCTGGTATAAATTAATTATGCTGCCTTTGCAATCTATGCAGCTGTACCAATATATGTCAGCTCAAGATCTGACCATTCAGGTTTCCAGACTGAGAAGCTGTATGCACAAGATAGTGTACACTAGAGGTTTTAAAAAGTAGATGCCAAAATTCTTCCTTTTCAATGTGTAATTTGAAGCCTCAACAGGAACTTGCAGTTCCTGAGTTCTTGCCCATTATTCACTAGCTCATATACTAGCTGAGACCAAGTGAATGAGTGGCATTAGCATCTCACCTTAAGTGAGAAATAGCTGCAGTCCTGATTTTGCTGGCTTGGCAACTCTGAGCATGCATGCAGCACAGTTCTGAAGACAGGGGGTGGTAGTATGGGACTTCCACATATGGGTTGCAAAGAAGCTTAACTGGATAGCTGCAGGAAGCAGAACATGTCTAGCATAGATCAGAACCCCCCACTATATAAATATATATATATATATATTTCCCCCAGAAGTAATATATTGTTGCCTATCTGCATTTCATTTATTTATGTATTAGAGGGAACCATCCGTAGACAGTGTTATTTGCCAAAAGCAAGATGTGAGATTGAAGTGAGAGGAACATGCATATAAAGCACTTATTTAAATGCTTTTATTTTAGTTCATGTCTTTCAAGACAAGACTACCTTGTCTTTCAGTTCTTCACAAGCCCTCCTTATGTATGAACTGAATTTCAAAACAGAAATCGATTCCAGATGTCTTCAGTATATTTTTCCAGGCTTGAAATTTAAACAAGTTACAGCAATACTCACCTTCATATAGTTTTTGATCATTATAATATGAATTCTCACTGACAGCAGTAGACATCATGGTTTTCAAAACCAGCTTTTATTAATTTGGATTCCATTCCAGATTGTCAGAAGGGCTGTGTTTTAAGGAGAATCACTCATTTGATGATGCGTAGTGCAGCTGCCCACCACATGTACAGCAGCAGCATTAGCACTTTTTAATTTTCCCCCACTTTCAGCTTCAGCACTGGAACCCATTACATAGCTGGCATCTTACAAGTGCTGTGTTTCTTTGACCCTTCCCTCAGAAAATGCTCCATAATAGCAGGCTGGCTTACAGCCTTCCTCTAGCTTCTAAATTTAAGAAATGAACAGAGAGGAGAGTCCAGCAGGTAGGATGCAAGTCTGGAGAGATGAATACTTTTACTCTTTCTTGCTCTGCACTGACTGTGTGATCTCTGGCAAATAATGTTGCCTTTGCGCCCCTGTCCACATCTGTAAAATAAAGTATTATCTTTTGTCTTCCATGGCAGATAGGTATAATCAAACGATTTTGTGATCAGAACTAGAGTTTGTGATTACCTGTGATAAGGTGAGCAAAATCCCCTGAATCATAATCATTGAGCCAGCTCCTTGATCTCAGGGGTAATGTGGGTCAGGTGTGCTGCACGGAGCTGAAAACCCTGAATAACAGAGATATGGCGCACATACTGCAAAGACATTTGCCAGCTGAAGTCAGTGAAGGGCTGTTTGAGCTTTTTAGCTCTGGACCAGAGGCAAATCTGTTGGACCTGAGGCAGGTATTGCAGACTCACCACCAGCTGTGTGTCTTAGCATGCAGGCACAAACTGAAACAAAGGAAATTCTCAGTAGTTCTAAGCAGGTGGGATTTTGTTGTTTCTGTTTGTTTGTTTTTACCATGAAGGTGACCAAATATTGGAACTAGTTGCCCATAGGGAGTGTGGATTCTCCATCTCTGGAGGTGGCTTTGAGCAACCTGATTTGATTAAACCTGGTTTGAGCAGACATTGAATTAGGTGAACTACAAAGGTCTCTTCCAACCAAAACTACTTCTCTGATTCTGTACTAGTGCTGTACCTTAGCAAATATATCCTCTTGAAGCACTGGAGACCATAGTGTGCACCCTCAAGGTAGCCTTGCAGGAGGGAGCCTGTCTCCATCAGGGACAGACCAACCAAGTCATGATGGACTGAACTGATACAGTGCAGCTCAGTGTTTCCACTAAAAGTACACGTGGCCCCAGACTGATCCTAAAAAACATGTAAACACCTTTAGGTAGCACTATACCTCCAAGGAGCCAATGCAACTCTGAATCAATGGCACAGTACATCTCCAGATGAACCATCTACAGGTAATGAAAGTTTACTGCATTGGGAAATAAGTTCTTTAGTTCATATTTACCTTCCATGTTATCTTACATGAATCAGTGCAGCATTTCAGTCCTTCTGGCCTAGCCTTTACATGCAGTAGTGGAACTGAGCCTAGTGGTTCCCATAGATTGCACATGTTGCATCTCTCACTAAGTTGCCAGATGTGGACTTC